CAGCAGTGATTATTTTCAGATAGCAGTGCGAGAGAGTAAAACGTCAGCTGCTGCTATTAATAGCACTGCGAGCAATAAGGCTGTTGCTCATTACTGACAGGTGAGACGAAGTTAATTTTATTTCATCCTAGGTATGAAAAAGTGCAAAAACAAGACAGGCTCTGAGTCAATCCCCTTGGTCCAGAAAAGATGGGAGACCCCTCCAGGCCTGGGGAGTGGCAGTGTGGGGTGGTTTTCCCAGGGTGCTTCCACCCTGCTCCAGAGTAAATGCTGCTGGAAGAGTGGATATGGTGAGGAGCTGCAGCTGGCTAGGATTGCTGAAAACATGTTGAGTTTAGGTAAAAAACAAACTGAAGACCTTCAGGGTTCCTGTTCTGAAACTGGAGGGTTTGCCCAGAGGAGAGAAGGTCTCAGCCCAAGGTCAGCAGCATGTGGTGGGACCCTAAAACAGCTTTTGGTAGCAGATCCCCATCCGAATGGGACGCAGCTCCCTGGAGGAGGGATTTGACAACCCCATGGGTAAAAGGTGCTCCTGAGCCTGTAGCCACCTTTGGAAACTTGGGGTGTTTTTAGCAGGCTGAAGGATCTGGCCACTGGTGATCCTCAGAGCAGGCGCAGACACGGGGTGGGCAGCAGGGTAAAAGTCTTGGGGATTGATGGCACTGGTGTAAACGAGAGCCGAATACAACTCGCGTTGTTTGAGCAGATGTGTCCTGTCTGCTGCTAATTATAAGCGTTGCGTGCACAACACACACTGGGAGATGTGCCAGATACTATTCCTTTTCACGTTGAACTCAAAATCATTATAATTAAGCTTTAAAGTTGTAAGTAAAAACTAACAAGAACTGCAGGCTTGCCATCATGCTGCTTGCAACCAGGTCGGTCCCCACTAGGATGGCCAGGTGTGAGGGTACAGCCTCCATCCTGGAGGGTGGTCAGAGGGGGCCGGGGGTGTGAAAGGCCTTGTGGGCTCTGCCATGGTGGGCTTGTCCAGATTTGGGTTTTAAATAGGCAGAAGACCTAAAAATACTGGAAACGTGCTGTTTTACAAAGGTGGGAAGCATGTTACTGGTTGAGCTTTAGCAGCCTCTCAGGCTTGGTGGGCACAGAGGAGAGGTGCTTGCTAAAAAGGGAAAATCAGGAATAAAAGTGGGAAGCAATCAGGGAAGTAATCGTGTAACCTTGAGCCGAGAGGAACCTAGGTTGGTATCTCTGGTTTGAGGAAGACGAGCCAGTCTTGCTGAAGAAGCAGCTCCAGGAGGAGTTGCCACACATAGGGCTGGGTGACAGGGACATGGTGACTGTGCCACCGGCTGTGGCGCAGTGGGCGTCAGTCGCTGGCTCCTTTGTGGCACTTTCTGGGGCTGCCTCGGGACCAGGTGGGTGCTAGGGGACAGCACCACGTGCCCCCAGGGGAGCATCCCCAGGAGTTGTTTCTCATCTCTGCTCCCTGGATGTGGGGGGACTCATGAATCTGCTTTTCGGGCTATGCCACGGGAGCTGAAATTGGTGACTGTGCATGTAGGGGTGAGGATCACCATGGCCCCAATTTCATGGTGTGCTTGCCGTGCAGCCACAGGCGTGATGGATGGGCTGGGGTGTGCATTGGGCAGAGCTGCCATGTGACGAGTGGTTTAAGAACAAGGCTGCGGAGCAGAGAGCAGTGAGGTCTCAGCCCTGCGATTTGTATTCGGAGGGAAGGCAGCGGCTGTGTTTCAGCACTTGTAGGTCTTCGTCTGGGGTCATGTCTAGATAAATTACATTTTGAGATCCAGGTGAATGCAGGGGAACAAGCCGCACTGTCAACGCGGCAGTGGAGGAGAGACATCTTAACTGCTCGTGATAAATGGGTCAAGATGGGTCCCGGTGTTTTAAAAATTAGCTGTTGACCTAGATAGCGACAGTGTAATGACTTGCTCGCAGTGGGAACAAAAGTGAGCGTCGCTGGAGCTGCGTGTCGCTCTGGAGGCAGGGACGAGCCTGGTGTGCTGGGTTTAACCTGGGCTGGTCCCCCCACGCTTCGTTTGTACCCTCATACCTTTGTTTGTTTCCTCGGCAGCTGGGCTGTGCTATGGGGAAGCGTGGAAGACCTCAGCTGTCTTTTTCTGATGGCTTCACCGAGTCGCAAGGTGTATTTGTCCCATGGGCAGCAGCCAGGGAGGCACCTCATGCTGCCCCATGCTTTGCTCTCCTCCAGTAATGAAGGACGCTGAGTTGCCTTATTCATTTCCCCCCCTACCCCATTTTGCAGGGGGAGCGGTGCCGTGCGCCCCTAAGCAGCCACCCGGGCTGTTTAATGCTGGTCCTTATGGAGATGTGCCATGCGTTTGGGTCGGGGCAGTTGGCAGGGTTGATGCTAAAGATGGAGCTGCTGCGCAGGTCAGGTTTCCTTCTGCTTAGCGCTGGGGAAGGAGAAGGCCACCGCCTGCGGCAGGTCACAGCACCCCAGGGGTTTCTCCTGCGATGGGATCCTCTTCCTCTTGGTGAAGCCATGTTCCTCCTGAGCACTGAAAGTCCTTAGCGAGAGACCTGTCAGTGCCCCTTGTTAGCTGCTGTAGTTGAATAGTGGCTTTGTTGGGTGTTAATTGAGCAATAATCAAGCTAAGGTTGCAGTTGCCCTGTGCTGACAACATTGGTCTCTTCAGTTCAATTCAAGACACTTCTTTCACCAGGATTTTCTGTGAAGATCTCTAGTTAAGACCTGAGTAATGCGTCACTTGAATTTCTTTTGAGGGTGTTTGGGTTTTTTTAAGTCCCCTTGCTGGAGGGGCTGCTGTAACTCCAGAGTTACAGCAGTTTCTAATTGCATCGGCTTGAATGTTTGTTGGCCGTTACGAGCAGTGGGATGGGATGATATCGGTACCTCTCTCCAGTGAGGTCCAGTTTTATTTGAGCTTCATAACTGGGGCTGTGGTCGGAGCGCTTGGGACCCTGGGGTGCTTGCCCCGAGCCTGACTGGGTGCCCTTCTGGCTGCTGGGCTTTGATTAGATGGGTTTTGCTTTGCCCTCTTGAAGGCAGCATCTACCCTACCAAGCCTTCAGCCCCATTGCAGAGCGGCAGTGCTGACCCCCTGCACCCCCAAAAGCACAGCCTGCTCATTAAGCTGTGTCCTCATTCCTGGAGCAGCACTGCCAGCTGACTGGTGCCGGGGTGCAATTAAGGATGGGCTGATTTTGTTCACTGAAACTCTACATGGTTTTGGCCCGAGTTGCTTGAGCACCTTGTTTCCAGCTCACAAGATGCTCTCGTCTGGCACTCACCAGCAGAGGAGGAGCAGGAGCTCCAAAGCAAGGGGGGGATCTGGCCATGAGCACCCCAAATTGCAGGGGGAAAAAGGGGTGGGTGAGCCTGATCTTGGCTGTGCACAGGAGATGATCTTTCTGGCATGTGTATGTGGCGTTTTCCCCTGTTCATGCTTCGCTGGCTTTTGTGATCCTAGTTTCTCATCTTGCTGCCCAGTTTGGATTTTCTGTTTGAAACTCTTAGGCAAGTTCTGCACTGAGACCCTGAAGTCCACAAGAGGAGGATGCGCTTACATATCCAGATGTGCATGAAGGGAGGTCAGAAACGAGCCAGGCCTCATGGGTTGGAGAAGGGGGTGGCAGGATGCTGCTGCAGGGAGGCCAGGTCCTCGTGCTGTCCCTGCACGCGCGGAGCAGTGCTCACAGCTCTCCAGCTCCCCTCAGGGTGCAGCAGCAAGCCCTGTTCATCTGGCAAGGCTGCAGTCATGGCTGTGAACAAGCTTTGGGTGCTGTCTGAGGGCAAGGTGTCCCTGGGGAAGAGGGATAGTCTTCCTCTGCTCCCTGGGGACTTGCAGCAATTTCTCTGCAGTGGATTGCCTTTCCCATGGCATCTCTCTTCCAGAGTGTTTTCCATGCTCCTTTGCATGCTGTTTGCAGTGGTGGGAAGGTGCTGAGATTTGAGGAGGGGAAACAGCTGCACCAGTGCCCGGGTGCCCGGGGCTGGGTGTCGTTGCCCCCTTCCCTGGGACCCCTGGGCCATCAGGGCTGCTCTTGCATTGTACCCAAAAAGCAACATCCTAATGAGTCCCAACAAGAGGTTGGGACCGTGGCTGGGTGTCTGGCCCACAGCAGGCACAGGTTTCTCAGACCTAGGGAGGCTCCACCACCTCCATGTATCCAACCCCTGCCTGCTATGCCCTGGCACAGGGGCTCCCGTCCTGCTCTGAGCTGGCTCCCTGCCTCTCACCACAGCACCAGGGAAAGGGGCTCAGCCTTTCCCTCCCCTCACTGGCATCTGGGTCAGATCCTGCCCTCCCCAATCACCACAGATGCTTTGTGCACTACGCTGTGCCGCTCCTCCATGGGCTCCCTGCCTGTGTGCGGCCGGTCCTGCTCACTTTGGAGGCCACAGGTCTGCCCAGAGCACATCGGTGGCTCTCAGCTGATGAGCCCAGTCATGCACTGCCTGCGCTGCAGGCGAGCTGTTCGCCTGGAGACGAGAGCCTCTGGAAAGTGTGGCTCCTAGTAGAGGAGGAGTTTGGCAGCAAAGCATACAAGGGGCTGCCTGCACTGCTGCCGGGTCTTGGGGTGGGATGCAGCGAGCAGGCAAAAATGGGTTGTGCTGGGCTGGGAGGGATCCAGGACTCACTGCAGTGAAGTTAGTGGTGGGACAGGAGAGCGTGACTGTGTGCGAGTCAGAAGTTACCCATCACGTGCCACCATGAGCTGAGGATCGTTACCTGTCTGTGATGGCAGCCAAATGCAGTTTGTAACACTTGGTCCCTAGGAATCTCACGTTTTGGTTCGTAGTGACTTTCCTGTGCGTTACTCCTCTGGAAAACAATATTCCCTTCACAGTGTCAAGGGAAAAGAAAATTTGGTCCTTATTTATGGAGATCGTTAGTCCCCACGTGTGACAGAGAGGTGATTTCTGACCCCAAGCCTGGCTCCCATCGGCGTGTTCATAAGCGGGTGCCTTGCCCGTTTTGCCTGTCCGAGGTGGCCGGCAGCTACATGTGCTGCTTTATCTCCCGCAGGCTCCTGCTTCTGGGTCGCCGTCCTGGACGGCAACGTGGTGGGGATCGTGGCGGCGCGGGGCAACGAGGAGGACAACACGGTGGAGCTGCGCCGCATGTCCGTCGACTCCAACTACCGCGGCAAAGGGATCGCCAAGGCCCTGGGCCGCAAAGTGCTGGAGTTTGCTGTGCTCAACAACTACTCCTCTGTCGTGCTGGGAACCACGGCTGTGAAGATGGCAGCCCACAAGCTCTACGAGTCCTTGGGGTTCAAGCACGTGGGTGTCGTCGAACATTACGCCCTGCCGGGGATGACGCGCTCCTTACTGGAGAGAATGTTTTTCCAGCTCCGCTACCACCGCTACCGCCTGCAGCTGCGGGAAGAATAAAAAACCCAACCAACCAAACAAAAAAAAATATTTTTTTTTTTCCCTCCTCCCCCTTCAAAAATAATAAATTGCCCTTCTATTTCTCGTCACTGTTGATTTGCCAATTTTGGGTTGAGTTTTTGTTCCCTCATGTCATCTTTTGGTTTGCTCCGTGCAGCTTGATCGTCCGGCCGAGCAGCGCTCCTTCCTCGCATGCTGTAGGTGGTGGCGCTGGGAGTCCTGCGACCTGGTGGGGCAGAGCGGAGCGGAGCAGCGGCCTCTCCTTCCCAGGTACCTCCGTAAAGCACAGAAACTTTAACTGCAAAATAGTACCACTGCTCTGGTGTACATAGTCTTCTCCTTTTCCAAATGTAAGATAACATAGTGATGCATTCATAATAGTGCAGAAATATTACTTGAATGCAGTTTTCAGTATTTCATGCACCAGTAAGTAGAATATGCATTCGTCTTACCGTTATTTACTGGTTAATAGTTTTCAAAGAAAAGGTGGGGGGCAAAAAACCCCCGCCCCAACCCGCTTGCTACAATGCATGAAGAGGAAAGCGCGTGCACGCACTCAAACACATCGCACTGCCGCCACGGCACTGGTGTTGCACTTTTTTTGGATGTGCCTCATTCTGCCAAATGTCTGAGAGACCCTGGGTGCATCCGGTAACCACGACTCCGCTCCATTCCCACCCTCCTTCCTAAGCCAGCACAGACTTGGACCGGCTGAACTCTGAGCCCCATTGTTCCATAGCGTGAAGTTTAAGATCAAACCTAAATCTCTCCTGCGCTGTTCTGTAGCCACACGTAGCCTGCAGTCCTGGGCCAGACTCCGCATGTGCGTTGGACTTTCTCTTTGCTGCCTTTTGGGGTTTTTTGTTTGTTTGTTTTTATTTTCTTTTTAAGGGGTTTTTTGTTGTTGTTGTTATTTTTAGTTTTGGCTTTTGCTGAATGGTGTCATTGAGGCGTAATGGAGGCTGCAGTTCCTATGGCAACACATTTGCACATTAATGTGCGCACCAAATCTAACCACTTCAGAGAAGCAACGTGTGACAGATAATAGCATTTTGGGGAGCGCCGGGGTGGGAGCATACTTATTCTCTTAACCAGCTGCTTGTTTGATAAATGTAGATGGCCTCACTGCAGCCTTCCATCAAAGGTAATTAACTGCTTTAATGATGTCAGATTTGTGAATTGTACAATGCAAAAAGCAATGCAAAAGCAGATTCGGCATGTGTCTGTACCCAGTATGTATGTACAGTGCCTGCCAACTAAAGAATAACCAAGACTACAGCTTCTTCTAGCCTGAGATATCAACTTTTATAACTTATTTAAACAAATAGCAACTTTGCATGAATTACGTCTTGGGGAAAAAAAAAGATGGGTAGGTTTTAATTTTTAAAACGTGGTATCAGAAGTACAAAGAAAACCATTTCTGGCTGCACTTAATTTGGGGTGGGTGGAGGAGTTCAGCTCTGTTAATACATTTAAAGGGAAAACATCTTTAATTTAGTTCCTGGGGAAAAAAAAAACCTTACTATTTTATGAAGTATTATGCGTGTGTGGGGGGAAAAAAAAAAAACCCAACACCTATCATGATGAACTTGATGAAAGGGTAGAGCATGTGTTAACCACGCTTGCACTTGCAAACACAATGGCAGCATCAGCGGGAGAGCCCCAGAAGGGAGGCAGCGTGGGGCGCGCGGAGAGGAGAGGAGCCGTGGGGCGGGCAGGGGGGCAGGCAGCATGGACCCACACGTGGGATGCTGCCTGCGTCTCGCTCGAACCAAGAGCTGCCCTTTCCTCTCCGGCCGAATGCTTTCCCAGCACTGAGACGTGGCCAGCAGTGCTGAATGAGCTCAGCAGGGAGGGGGCTCACCCCATCCCCGCTGGGGCCGTGGGCCGGGCACCGATGTCGGGGATGGAGGAGCCGTTTGGCACAACCCCGGTAGAGCTCTCGGTGCTGGGCTCAGGCTCGGTCCAGCCTGTAAGGAGCCGGAGGGGCAGAAGAGTCCCAGTGTGTGTCCCAGCAATAAGGGGGGGAAAATGAGGATGGTGAAGGGCACTGTAGCAAGAGACCGTGAGTTTAATTAACAAAATTTCTGTATGGGGCACTATATTTTTAAAAGTCTTTCTATGCTGTACATTTCTCCTGAAGCTCAAATAATGTACTGTTGGTAGGGGTTTTTGTATAGTGTACAGAAATTGGCAGAATATTTTCTTGCTGCATTCAGTGATTTATTAACCGAAGTAAAATAGACAAATATAAAGTGTTAGCAAAAGTTGAAAGAAAAAAAAAACACAAAACAGTTTGTGCCTTTTTAAGTTTATTTTTCTGTTGCTATATAATCACTGCACTAAAACTTTTCCAGAGGGGAAAAAAACCAAAACTAGTCTCTTAATAAGGGGGGAATACGTAAAGCCTAAATTGAGTGTTAATTTTTTTATTGGGATATTTAATTAAAAGAATGTTGCTGGTTTTATTTGATACCTGTGCCTTTGTAATAAAACTCCACATCCTGTCAGAAAAGCCAAACCTGGAATAAATCCCACCAGATCCCACAGATGCAAAAGTACCATCAGGTTACCAGTATTTTCTTTAAAAACATGTAAACCTTAACTGATGATATTACAGTATCTGATCATAATACCTGTTGAGTTGCCTGGGAAAGAGGTGCTTTGGAAAGGTGCAGCTTTCGGGGTGCTGTCTGCATTCCTCCCCAGGCACGCCGGCTGCCGGAGATGAACCGATAAGGATTGAGTCATTGCCACTTGGCCGGTAGCTGCCGAGCAAATTTCTTCCCTTAACACTCCTGCCAGTTGCTTTGTGACTGGGCTCTTTGGAAAAAATCCAGCTGGTTGCTCCCAGCTCTCCAGCCGGGACAGCTCGTTTCTGAAGGAAAGGGCTGGCTGCCAAATAGGCTGGGTTTTGCTTTCCTCGGAAGATGGAGAGGGCTGGCGGGTGAAACACCGCTGATCCCAGCCCTGTTTTTTATTGGGAAGCCCATGTGGCTGCCAGAGCTGCATCCCTGGTAGCAGCAGTGGGACGGGGGTACAGGACCTCCGGTATTGCTGCTGCTTTCCCACCCAGAGCTGCTCTGAATAGGATTAGACAACGTTGGGCTTAAAAGCATGAAGCGATACTGTCGTTTCATCTGCATTCATGGAATATTCATGTGATAGCTTGGGCTAAGCTCTGGAGCCAGAAAGCCTCTTCCCGCTGCTCGGCATGGCCCCTGGGCTCCAGACCATGCCGGGCTCACCTGCTGCCCTCCCCAGGGTCTGGCCTGCCTTGCCCTCACTGCCTGGGCCAGCGTGCTGGTAGACCATGGTGTGATTCACAGGGTGACGTGTTGAGGCTGAACTGCCTTTGGTGGATCCATCCATCCACCGTGCCTTTCAGGGTGCGCTGGTTTAAACAGCGTTGCATGGAAGTAAGATCCCACAGCTCATCATTTGTGCCCCCCAGTAGTGGTTTTGCAGCCCCCCTTGGGGAGCTTCTTGCTTCTGCACCAGATAGCCATGGTTGGCACAGCCCTGCATTGGGACCACCACCATCCCCCTTTCTCCAGGCTTGAGCGTCACCTCCTGACTGCTCCCATCCCAGTTCAGCATCTGAGTGGTGCAGAGCAGCACAAGATGGTTGTGGGTTTGGTCCTGAGCAGAAGAACTTGTGGTCTGGACCTACTGCCAGAAACCCGTTGAGAGCCTATTGCCAGTTGTCAAGTCTAATTCTAACAGAGACTCCAATCAGTATGAGATGGCAGGGGATGCTCCCAATTTATTTTGGTTTCTCCTTCCAAGGATGCTTCTAGCTGGAGTGTGGGGAAGAGTGGAGCATCTCTTGGGTCTTAGCCTCAGTTAGTAAATGTGATGGCTAGGAGGACTGCTTCAGATTTAGGTGGAAGGATGTATTGGAGATGTGAAGGAACCTCCCCCGGCTGTGCCAGGTGCCTGCTTTTACTTTGCTGTGCATGTGGGCTGTCGCAGCCCACTGCCCTTGCACTGTGTGCTATGTCATGGCACTGAGGATGCCGTTTCCTCGCCTGGCAGCTCTCTCCTTAGCATCGTGGCTTTTTCTGCTAGTCCATGTGCAGTGGGCACTGCTTGAGTGTTCTCTGCTCAGAGGGGACAAGGGCAGAGCCCTTGCTCACTGGGGAAGGCACCTTACAGGGTCAGGGTGTGATGTCCATGTAGGGGTCTCCCTTAAAAAAACTACCAAAAAGAAAAAAAAAGGGGGGGGGGGGGAACTTTGCATTGCCGTGGCTGAGGTCCATAGCCTCGAGGCTGCCCCGGCCCTCTGGCACAGCCTGGGCAATTCCCTGTGGAGCGAGTGGGCATGCCCTGCGCATCCTGAGCAAACTGGCATCTCAAGCACACATAATACTTGGCAATAAGCTCTGTGGGAAGCTTGGCCCTTGAACGGTCCCAGGCCAATAATGCTGAGCAATCAAAGGAGCAGGGGAAGTGGTTTCTAATCTTACTTGAAACCCTTGAACTGGTATTTGTTGTAAAATCACGGTGTGTTTTCCCTCCGTGAAGCAGACAGCACCTGCAAGATGCTTAGAAATGGCAGCTGTAATTCATCTCTGCTGGGAGATGCCCTTTGCAGCGCTTCTTGCTGCAGAAAAGTTTGGGGCACTGTCATCTGTTGAAAGCTGTTCTTTTCCCCTACCTCACTGTTACCGTGCGGTATGTGGGACAGTATTTCTGAGCAAGCCTTTACCTCTCCCCAGGCGTGCTGCAGACTGTACCCACGCCCAAGACTGAGTGTCAGGAGCTGGGCTCTTGCCTGCACGGTCCATCCGCTCCCATCTCTCTGGCGCGCACGGCTCAGGGAGCAACCGGGGGGGGGGGGGACGGGGGGGGGGGGCGGGGGGGGGGGGGGGTCAGGGCTGCTGCGAGGCACTGCCCGCTCGGGGAGGAGAGATGCACAGCCATGGGGTACCTTGGCTGCGGGGCTTTTCAGGCTGGCCATCATGGAAGGAGATAGCTGGCAGTGTAGTCAACCCTGTCAGGGAGAAGCAGGCTTGTTTTAAAAGATGTTTGTCAGAAGCAAGACGAGTTTAACGGTTTTATAAGGAGACTCCAAGGATGCTCTGTGCCCTTGGGGTCTGAGGTGTGGTAGCACCGCAGCGTTGAGCTGGTTGGTCGTTGCAGGCAGTGTGCAATGGGGGTGGCGTGGAAGCAGGACCAGCATTTGCGATGCTGCAGAGGTAGTTGTGCACCTAAAGCCAGCATCACAGCCCGCAGGGCACAAGTCATTCCTCTTCCGCTATGTACAGGATGGATGCACCTAAATCCTTAAAACCCCAAGGGCCAGCTCTGCATCTTGACTTCTTTCATCGCCCTTCAGCGAATGCAGGGGATAAATGACCCTGGGGATGTCTGTCCCCAGGGCTGGGACCTGGACAGTCATTTCCTCTCTGCGTTCATCCCCATGTGAAATGGGGGTGGTATTTTATGTCATGACATCTGAATTTAATAGCCCCTGTGTAGGAGGAGCAGGACTAAGAGTTGGCAGGTGGCTGCTGGGGTTCAGATGTGCCTGTTGGGGTCCCAGTGCCGCACACCTGCAGCAGGAGCAGAAAGTGCTCAGTGCCTGGGGGGGGGAATCAGGCCCCTTCCTTTCTGTGGCAAACTGCACCTCAGTGCCGGGGAAAGCAGGATAAGGCCCTGGAGGGCAAGAACAGAAAGTCCCGTGGTCAGAATTCCCAAGGGAACTGTGGTTTTACAAAACCTCGTCACGATCGTTGCTGCTGCCCATTGCTCACTGAACCGTATCCGTCCGTGATGCAGGTCTGCTGCTGTTTAATTTGCCAGATTTGCTGG